GATATACACTATAACTTTACCTACGTCGTTGATAGTTGCTGGTACAGGTAGATGTTAGAGGAGGAGGATGATGAGGAAGACTACTTATTGGAAAGAGAGTCAGATAACGTTGGGCAGCCATGAAACTATTCCAGGTACTCATCTCTCTTCTTATTACCCTGAGAATGTTTCTACAGCTAGTCTGATAGCTAACAATAAATTTTCTACATATAAAACTTGAGACCTTTGTTTCGTTAACATAGTCACGCCTTTAGCCAACTATGCTGTCTTCAAGATAGTTCACATGGTAGATTTAGCCATGTTGTACTGCTTGGCGAGATCTGAAACACGAACACCACTGGCATGTTTAGTTATTATTTCCTTCTCTTCGTTTCTACTGTAACACATTTAGGTTTCTGAACAAAACACTTTTCCCATTCATGGCAGACATCATAATGCGCCCCCCCCCCCTTTTTTTTCCCTCCTACCCTTAAATGTATGAAAAACAATGCAATGATAAATAATCTTCACAGCTCGCAAACCTGAGTAAAATAATAATTGCTGTTCGTTTGCCGAAAACAAAAACTCCGCACCAAAACCATGTTTGCAGGTTCCTGAGCCGAGGCACTGTTCGTCGGTCGAGACAAAATGTGTTCGGAAATTGTGTTCGTGACTAGAGGCACTCCTAACCCGAGCTACAACTGTATGTGATGGAGCATATAGTGCCTTATTGTGTATGGAATTAGATATGGGAGTCAGGTGTCGACTTGCCATGTCATGATTTTATCAGCCTTAGAATATCTTGAATATCAGCGCAAGTATATTACAGCAATTAAAGTTAGCTAACACTGTTCTTTTATACATTCTGCAGAATACTAATGGCTGCCCATTGAATTCATTGCGAAAATTGTGCATCGCAGTCAAACATTTGCATGGGGGATTCATTATCCGCTCTCTTTCATTGCACAGATTATAAGAGAAGTATATAGACTTACATGTCAAAACTACCTGACTAACCAGTTGTCGACAGAAACGTATGGCGGACTGAAAATATTTACATAGATGTGTAGCATGACACGCATTCTGGTTTTGTAGCAGAGAATAGTGGGTATAAATAGTTATAGCATCCACATTGGACTGCAGGTTACTTAAAATACCGTCTCTCGGTTCCCTGATATAACTGTGCTGCATAGCTGTACGGTGAAACCGACTTTCCAAGATTTGTACGTGTTTGACTCTCGTCCTTGAGTCGTTAATTTTACTGAACTCACAGAGAGGGGGGAAAAGAACTTACATTTCTAACGTCTTGTGAATTCTAAAAAGAATAATGTAGCTTTGTGTTTTTAAACAAACAGCGTTGGCAGGGGAGAAAAACTTTAGCGACGTTATTGCTATTAGGACATTACCACGAATCGTTATGTCAATGTTTAACAGTACCAGCATCGCAACGTTTGTGTCTATGCCAGTGATTAGCTGTATATTAAGGCCAAATCTACGGAAAATGTAGTGTCGAGAAATACAGTGTAGGAAAACTGATTCGTTATGCGTTCATACATCGTGTATGATGATATGGTGACGTCTACCACTGAGAACATTTTTTAGACACCAGTGTGTCGATGTGATACAGTGCGAAGATGTTATGGACAGTGAAAGTCTAGAGACTGTGTACTTCTGTTGTGTAGATGAATGAAGCTGATAAATAGTTTCCAGTAATCTGGAACACCCCCCCCCCCCTTCTTCCCCCTTCTATAACTTTATGCATGATGTCAAGATTCAGAATAAGTAATTATAAATTACTGTCGTCATTTTAAAATGTGTTATATATCTTAACACGACATGATCTAGCAACTGGGGGAATGCCAGTGGAAATTTTATAAACATTTGTGTATCTGTGGTCGAAGACTGTCCAGAAATGTTCCATAAACATTATCCAAGCTTTATATTAGGTGCAGTGTTATGTAGTTAAAAATTTCAGAACAACTGTACTACTCGTGAAATTGTTCGGCTACATTGCTTGTTTAAATTCGTTCTGCTTTAGTTTTCTGTCGGCGTGTGTGACTTGGCGTTGCGAATGCGCTTCGTAATGCCGGGTTGCAGGGTTTGATCCCAGCCTTGCGCCTTGCGTTGGTTTCGACAGTGGTATCGAAAAGCTGACCGTACAGAAAGCAATGGCAAACTACTGGACGTAAACTTGCCTAGAAAAAACACTACAGCCACACAAAAAAAATTTTGGGGCCGGTTCTGCGACGTCCTGTAAACGATACGCAACTGAACTTTTTTTTTTTTTTTTTAGTTTTATGACTTCAACGTGCACTGTTATTGTTGGTGAATAATTGTATGTGGTAAATTTTTATGCCCTTACATTCTGTTGTGTTTTTTCTTCATTAAAAAAAAAGGAGGTGGAGGGGAAAAAAGGGGAAGGGGAGGGAATAATGAACTTGTGTACACAGTATTTGTCAGAGAGGGAGTCGCTGTTGTGTAGAGGCTAGATGCTTACCCGTGGACCTTTTCATAAACTGACTTGGCTTCCAGTGCGGCCCAGCCTTAAATGGGTATCATGTAAATTCTTGGGAAGTAAAGGCTACAGGCTTGATGTTGACCATATCACCCACCGAATGCCGACTGGTCAACAGAATACAGGTCTAGCCCTATATGCCCAATACGCATGAAAACGGGGTAAAGAATCCTTTACTATCTATTCCTGTTTTGTCAGAGATGGGGCAAAGTAACCATCGTTTGGATTTGATTGTCTTTGTTAAATAGTTTCTGAAGTCATTGTCTTACGTCAAATTTGTGTTTACTACTAGTTAAATATCTTTCGTCAAATCTATGTTTACTATAAGTTAAATATCTTTCGTCAAATCTATGTTTACTACAAGTTAAATGCTCATTTTTGTTTACTTCTCATATTCAATAATTTTATGAGTACTTTCGATTTCAATAATTATTTAGTGCAAATTTTGTGTTATTTCTTCTGTCAAGCTGTGATCGGTTATACAAGCATACTCTGTTATTGTTTTACACAGGATTATGTTTGTGTTACTGTGATATTTTTGTGGAAATCTTCTGTTTGTGATTTTACCCTGTGCGTCTCTAATGTTGCGTAGGAACTCATTCATTGTTTATTATCTACTTATCTATTTGTGGTTTGTTGTTAAAGATGTTCTAGGAATTTTCTATAAATAGAAACAATTCAGTGTATGTAAATATACTACACTTTGCTATCAGAAGGTTACAGATAATTTCATACCCAAGTATATTCAACTGCGTCACACAGCCACTAGTATTTAGTTAAGATGGGGAACGGATCCAATGATGGGATAATATGGTGCACACAGATGAAGCAATGCGATAGGATGGAACATTCAGACAATAATGGTACCAACAATATTTGGGTACTAGGTTTGAGGTTTTTAAATTGTGAACAGCGGATCAACATCATGGCACACGGGTAGTAACCCACAAATACTCCGTTCTTATTTTAACTAAAGTCTGAGTACGAAGAAGCTCAGCACAGTGCACAAGCTCTGTAGCACTGGCGAGGATCTTGAAATACTTTGGGTAGATTTTCAACTCCAAATTTGGCCCGGGCAGCGTCGTTAGGCTACTCTTTTTCTATTTCCAACTGCCACGGGATTTTTTTACGTGTGCAACAATGCACACGAGAGTCCGATTTCACTACTCAGAGACCAGGGGAATTACTAGAAGTCCAAGTCCACGCAGTCCGATTTGGGTACTAGTGATGCAGTAATGAATATGCCAAACTCAAAGTGATATTGTAAGCGCCCAGCAGGTTAAGGATAGACATTACATATGAACATTTTGTAAAAAAGTAACCATAATAAAGCTGATACAGGAACTAAGAGAGACCTGCAAGAGTTTCCAAACATAGAACCAATAGAAAAGCAACACGTTAAGAGGAAGGAAGCAAAAGTATATACAACCTGGTAAGACAATATGATTTCCAGGAATTAGAGAATACTAGAACGATGACATTACCCCATTATGATTTATGTTGGGCATAGTATTGATTATGTGTTATACTTTATGTCTACATACATGACTCGAGAAGTAAACATAATAGTAAGTGTCAGCTGATCAGGACATGCAAACCTAAATTTAGTATCAGGAAATGTCTAGTAAAGTAAAGCCGGTCAGTTTCATGCCCAAATCACCTAACGAGACCGTTTTGTATAAAGAATATAAGTATAGCGCCACTGATATGCGCCACTCGCATGAAAACTGTTCATTACTTTTTACTATATTATCAGGCAAAACGGACAAAGAATCGCATACACTGCCAGGGCAAACATGAATATAAAAACCAAGTACGCACAAGAGAAAGCCTATGATGAATGCAAGAAGCCATTCTTGCTTGATCAGATTCCATGCACAATATTCAAATGAATAACCTTTCAGGAAAATTTGAGAAAACCAGGAGCTGATTCATGTTTCTGCATATCGCATTACGTTCTCACAGGTTTCCAATTTCAGTGTTATTTGCGTAATCCTTTGTCTGTTTTGTTTAAATATCATAAAGAAACAAAAAGTCGATACTAGAATAGACCAACGACCTACCCATGAGCATGCCGTAAGAGTCGACTAATTGGGAGGTTTCTTCGAAGTCGGAGTGCATCTGTCTGAGAGGCAAGAAACCAACAGTCTGCATACAGATGTGTCGTATGGATGCACACGCAACACTCAGGTTCTGGAACAGGACTGCAGTCCAGACATAGTCGAACAACCAGACCTTTTCGCCAGAGTTTACAGCCGGTGAACGCGAAGAAGAAGATACTACTTTTTACGGCAGTGAAATACAATATGCGAACGGGCAAATTTTTACTACAAACACGCTTTCTTACAAACATGCACAGAAGTTCGATCGTCGACGCTAGTCAGCGAAGCATTTAAAGATAATGTTGTCGATCAATACATTTGGAGGTATTCCAAAACTTCGCACCCCATCAAATTCAGTCCACATTAAACCATTATCCCCTTTGTTTTGTGTGGAAACATTTGAGTTGCCCCATCGCATCCTTCCCGTTTTTTTTTTTTTCAGTAACATTGCGCAGAGCCACAATATTTGTGATCTTCGTTGTATGCCTGCTCACCGTTTTCAGTAAATACTGCGAACATTACAGTGATCGTCTACACTTCAGAAAGGCAGTTTACAATAAACTTAACATAACACATATACATGCGTGGATTCCTAACAACAGCAGCGATATTTCCCAAGCGTACCGGAAAAGATGGATAGGTTTCCCAGAAATGTATGGAAGCGACTGTCCAACAGCGTTGAAAACCAAGGTTAACAACAGGATATTTCCCTCAGAAGTGAAGCGGACTCATCCGGTAGATATCATAGCCCATGCCTCGGACTGTAAATCTTTCATCGAGAAGTATGGCTACAACAGGTATCCGGCAGCCTCGCAGGAAGAGCTCGACTTCCCCATTGCTTTCATCATTCTCTTCTATACGGACCTTGATCAGGTACGGCAAGTAGTCATGTCTGTGTCTGAATTTCTGTGTATCTGGGTGTGCCGTATTTAGTCATGTGCAACATGTGCAGCTGCACAGGGAGTCAGCATTTTGGGAGAGGCAACGTTTTGAGGGCGGCAAAAGATAACCAATAATACTAACATTTTTAACGCTTTATTACAGAGAGAATAAAATGGTATGGTAGAATCAATAACGGAAAGTTTTGAAAGTTCCAATATGTCAAGAAATGAAAAGACCCTGTTGATGGATAGGACAAGCAACCTGACAATAAAACTAAAAGGACTTTACACTGGAACCCACATAGGCTTTAAAAAAAGTCATACCATACAAAAACACATGGAAGAAGATAAGCAGAGAGTGAATTTAAATAAAGATAGGGAGGAAATGGGGCAAAATGCATAAAATACAGAAGAAGAATAGGCAGGGCAAATGCCGCACAAAGTGCTGCAGGAAAGGCTTTTACAGTAAAGTCTTGGAGATCAGCTATATTTTTTTTTAACAAGGTATCGTACATCACGGATAGTCTCGATTTCTAGGAAGTGACAAATATATTCACAATGCAAAAGTGAGAAGAAAGCCATTTCTCCAGGTTCTGTAAGTTTCACAAAACGATTATCAGCATATAGATTCCATTCAAAATATTTATGATTGATTACATCGGAGGCTTCTTGACTCTCTCTCTCTCTCTCTCTCTCTCTCTCTCTCTCTCTCTCTCTCTCTCTCTCTCTCTCTCTCTCTCTCTCTCTCTCTCTCTCTCTATCACTCTCTCTCTCTCTATGAGAGTTTTATATATATATATATATATATATATATATATATATATATATATATATATATATATATATATATATATAAAACAGGGTATTAAACTGTACATGTGTCCGTTCGTTCATAGTGAGCCAACACGACGATCTTCGTTAAATATTTTAATGGAAACTTCTTGGTGTTATTAGGATACGTGAGGATCTTTCTATTCTGAGTTGATATCTATACAATTCGTGCTGTTAAAGGGACGAGAAGAGACAAACGTAAGAAGATAATAAAGTAAGCATTTTGAGAGGCAGGGTAGAAGAAAAAGCATTTAAAAGAAGAATAAAATAACGATGAAGAATTACTTGGAAGAAGAAACAGTGAAAACAATTAGAAGAATTGTTTTTTAAAGAGGAGGAGGAGGTAAAGGAGGAGGAGCAGCAGCAGCAGTAGCAGAAGAAGAAGAAGAAGAAGAAGAAGAAGAAGAAGAAGAAGAAGAAGAAGAAGAAGAAGAAGAAGAAGAAGAAGAAGAAGAGGAAGAAGAGGAAGAAGAAGAAGAAGAAGAAGAAGAAGAAGAAGAAGAAGAAGAAGAAGAAGAAGAAGAAAAAGAAAGACCGAAAGAAAGACCGAAAGAAAGACCGAAAGAAAGACCGAAAGAAAGAAAGAAAGAAAGAAAGAAAGAAAGACCGAAAGAAAGAAAGAAAGAAAGAAAGAAAGAAAGAAGGAAAAGGAATGAGAAGAAGAATAAAATTAAGGAACAAGAAGATTATGATAATTATGATGATGATGATGATGATGATGACGACGACGATGATAACAATGATAATGACGGCGACAGAAACATATATATAAATATATTTTTTTTTTCTATACGCCTTTATAGGTGCTCTTCTTGCTACGTGCCCTTTACTATCAGCACAACGTCTACTGCCTCAGTGTAGACACCAAGTCCAGCATTGACACTCTGCAGGCGTTGATCTCAGTTACAAAGTGCCTTCCCAATGTGTTTGTGGCCAGCAAACTGGAGCATGTGGTTTATGCTGGATTCTCCAGATTACAGGCGGACATAAATTGTATGAAGGATCTACTGAGGCATCCTGTGCAATGGAAATACGCTTTAAATATGCCGGGTCAGGAGTTTCCATTGAGGTGTGTGAATTTTGAATATCTATATTTGAGACAGTGTATACCGTTTAGTTCTGAGCTTTTTCTTCCTCATTGTTCTTTTTACCCATCATTGCTCTGCCTTTCAGCTTCACGATTAAAGAGGCATCCAGTGCGAGCCATGGTGTAAGCATGCTCAGAGCATGTTAGTATTCAGGCTGGGCTATTCTTTTTGTACATACAAGTTTCGACAATTAAGTAATGAGACTAATTTTATGGACAAGTCAAAAATGCTATCTATGAAGCGAAGCATGGAGTCTAAAGAAGCGACATTCATCTATGATCTGGCAACTTTTCATCGCCGCTCGATAAGTAGAGAACAAACAAGCCGTCATTTTCTTGACCTAGTCAGAGCTGCATTGTTATGTAATGAGCACAGAGAAAAAGCTAACTTTAAATTCTTTTTAAAACAAAACAAAAAAAAAGTCTTTTCTTAGAAGCGGCGCCTTTTTTTATGTAATATTTTTCCACAGCGCCCTACACTTAGTAAAAATATGACTGTACGTATGTAAAAAAAAAAAAAAACGCGTATCTTCAAATATTTCGCGGCGCCCCCTGGGAGCCGCGACCTCTTCACAGGGTGACGCCGCGAAATATTCGAAGATACACAAGCTTTTTTTTTTTTTTAAACATACGAAAAGTCATACTTCTACTTAGGGACACCGTTTAGGCATCACTGGGTTCACTGCATCATTATGGTACTTGACGCTATAAGGGCAGTATCTGCTCTGAGATTGTGTCAGCGTAAGTGTATCATGTTGTGATGGAAGAAAGAAAATATGAGCTTTTCGTGATTTCGAAACCCCGTGTATGTTGCAGGACCCCATTGTGGGGGAAAACAAGAATAGACCCACTGCTTACCCAACAAGCATGTTGTAGCAGTCGACTAATTTGGGACTTCTTTTGAAGTCGGAGTGCATCGGTCCCAGCGGCAAGGAACACCCAATGATACACAAATAAGCCACTAAAACCAATGTTCATGCAAAACCCTGGCAACAAAGCCAATGTCCAAATGGATGAACAACCAGGACTTTTCCCCGGAGCGTAAGACAGTGAACAAAGAAGAAGAAGATTATGTCGAAACAAAAATGTAACCGTAAAATACGTCTACACACAAAGTGAAGGATTCTGTAACGAAATGTGTAAATATGCTTTTGCTCATTTTTTTTACACCCGTAGCCGCTAAAATCATCATCATAATCATTATCATCATCAACATCGTGCACTACACTGAAAAAAGAGTAAGTGATTCTTTAACTTATACGATCACTTTAAGCACTAACCAGGTCTGTGTGCTCGATTTATCATGTTATGTGCCTAGGCCCTCTGGATTGTATATTTTTGTCATTTGCTAGTTGTCACAAATCTTTAAGACATGTTTCTTTTCATACGACCTTCACCCCCACCTCCTAAAAGAAAAACTTTAAGAACCTGCGTCGACATTTATAAGATTCCATTTGAATCATCTATCAGGACAAACTTTGAAATGGTAAAGATTATCCAGAAATACAACGGTAACAATGACATACTGGGATTTACCGCGCCGCCCGTGAAGATGTTTTGGTTCACCACTAAATTTGAGTATGTTACAGACGACAAAACTGGTAAGTCGCAATACAGGTAATAGTCGCAATCAGTATGAATTACCACTAATCGTCTAGCTGTCTATAATTATCCGTACTGCATGAGTATTACCGATCTTCTTTTTCCTCTTTCGCATTCCTAGTCCTTAAGGTTAATTACTGCAGATAGCAACCGTATACATTTATTCTCTATATGCCCTCAAACATCCCGTCTTTAACCCTTATGACGCAAAGAGTTGTTTATCATTTAAGCAGATTAAGGATTTCGTTGTTGTTTCTTACTGTCTATTCTCATCTGCTTGCATATGTGTTCACTATTATTCTTATATTTTCCCCAACGTTTCAGACTGTTATTAGTTCACTTCCTGTTTCACTCTGGAACGACAAGTTTATAATTATCAATGTGATACAGGAACACTTATTATCTACACCAGTGTTTCCGAAACTTTTTTTTAGTCGTGGCGCCTTTTTTTTTAAATTAAAATATTTCCACGGCGCCCTAACCTAAGTAAAAGTATGACTATTCGTAAGTAAAAGATCAAAACAAATAAAACTCGCGTATCTTCGAATATTTCGCGGTGCCCCTATGAATAGGTTGCGGTTCCACGGGGCGATGCCGCGCACAGTTTGGGAATCGCTGATCTACAACTTAAGACATTTGCTGCGGGCGGAATTGATAAGCCCTTTGTGCTATGATGGCGGTTCCAAAATCAGTAATCACACTGAAATGTGTTTGTGTCGTTTATAAAGCATAATCAACGTGATTTAGTAAAGAAGAAGCGCGAGAAAGCATCCTAAGACGAACGTTGATAAAACAACTGGATTTCAACAATGATGTCGAAAATATTGCACAGCTCAGAGTGGACTGGAATGAAGGACTGGGAGCCATGTATGACACAAAACGTATGACAGAATTGTGATGAGAATTGTGACGTCGAAGGAAGGTAGGTAGGAAGTTATATCCCACCAGGACATCACACAAGCCATAAACACCCGGTGACACAAAGTGCTACCATGCGGATGAGGATCACCAAGAAACCAATTTCAGCCATAAGTCCATATTTATGGCTAGGCCATATTTTTGGCCAGACTATATTCAGGGGCCCCGGTAAAAGCCAGGGTGGGGTTTTAAAATAAAAAATAAAAAAATTAGCATCAAACAAGGTGACGACTTTTATTACTGACGTCGACGGAACAAACAACGCCATATTATTTCAAAGACGCAACAGAAATAATTATAGAAGTAAAATCTGATTGCACTGATGAATAATTCAATATTATCATCGTTTTCATCACCATTCTCATCACGAAT